GATTTCACTTGACTAACATGGTCTTCTACCTATCCTTGGCTTAACAGTACTGTGCTTGTAAATACAATAAACCTATGTTTCTGAAAGTGGTTGGAAGAAGGTGACCTTCATTAATGTCCAGACATTTCGGTTGTCATGGTTGTGAAAACGGGATCTCCTGACGTGTAGTGAGAAGAGACTGAAGATAATGTTAGACATGGCACAAAACAGCTCCCCTCCACCACGCACTCACATAATAGAGAATTATTTAGCTAACTGGGTGGTGGAGACACATGCATTTAATCCCAACACTCGGGAGGCAGAATCATGTGGATCTCTGTGAGTTTGAGGTCAGCCTGGTCTACAGGGCTACACAGAGAAATCCTGTTTCAAAAAAAAGAATTATCTAGCTCAAACTAACACCAAGATTGAGAAACTACCCTAAGGTTATAATTTCAAGCCTATAATCCTAAAAATTGTTTTTTAAAAGAATAAGTCTCTCATTATTGGTTTATATTTATCAGAACCCACACAGTGTGAATGGGATCATCTTCCCTTTGGGTATTTAAAGGGCTTCAGACCTTAGTAGCCCCCAGACCTTAACACAACTGACACCATAATGGAAGTATCATTCAGGCCATAAAACTCAATATGTAGACAGTACCACATGCCAAAATGAAAACCAAAACCTAATCTAACAACATCCATAGTTCTGGGAAACTCTCCAAATGTTCTAACCTTGCTTTTTTTTTGTTTCTGTAATTCAACTGCTGTCTAACTGTTCTTGTTAATCTTAGTATGTCAACCCAGAATGTGGTTTCTGTGCTTAAAAGCTCATCCTGAGGCTGGACGGTGGTGGCGCATGCCTTTAATCCCAGCACTCGTGAGGCAGAGGCAAGCGGATCTCTGTGAGTTTGAGGCCAGCAAAAAACAAAAACAAAAACAAAAAAACACCACACTCTGGGAATCCCAAACCCCCAGTCCCTGGCCAGCTCCAGCTAACAAAGACTTTCTATGGCTTAAACCCATGTCTAAGCAGTTTTCTCTGGTGGATACTCTACAACGGGGTATATTAACAGTTGACATCTATATTTTAGAAAAGGGGTATGAGTAACCAATAACATTGATGAAGGAGCTTAGATTATTTATGGAATTTTTTAAAGTGTATGTATATTGGAAGCATTGGAATAGACATCAAAGATAAAATTTTAAATTAATTCAATTCTAGGTTATTTTTTTAAGTATTTTCAATGTGTTAGACCTAAAATTGTGTATTTGAACTTAAAGTAAGAATTTATTATTTTATTTCGTGTGTGTGTGTGTGTGTGTGTGTGTGTGTGTGTGTGTTTGGAAGCCCTCACCTGCCTGTGCACATACATGTGGAAGCCAGAGGAAGTTGTAGCGTATCCTATCTCTGTTACACCCTGAGTCAGGATCTGTCAAAGAATCTGGAGCTAGGCTGTGGGGCAACAAACCCCAGTGATCTGCTCTCTCTGCCCAGCACACAGGGCTGAGGTTACAGGATCCAGTGTGGTCATCAGCTTTCGACATTCCTGCTAGTGTTTAGACTAAGGGCCTTATGCTTGCCCAGCAATCACTGAGCCATCTCCCCAACTCTGGGAATTATATTTTGTGACATGTCTTTTAACAGTGAATAATTTATCTAGTAAAGAGAACATTTTTATTCGGATAATGTCTCTGTGTCACCCTGGCTAGCTTGAAACTCTCCGTGTAGACCTGGCTAATTTCGAACTTGTGGTGGGTTTCCTACCTCCTGAGTGCTAGAATTACAAGTGTGCCCCGCCGTCCCTGGCAAGTAGGGAACCCCCCTTTTTTTTTTCAAAGGCAAATATTTCATCAGTGTATCATCTTCAAAAACGACTGCCAAGGGCAGGACCTCGGCAAGTGCAAGGTCCTGGCTTTGATCCTCAGCACCGGAAAAAATAATATCGAGGAAAATTTGTATGAGGGTTCTTATGTCGAACTGTAACAGATTAGATTACTTCGCTTAAATTTTGTGAAAAGACAGTTTTGTCAATATTTTGTCAAAAACTACAATCCATACTGGCCACCTTAACGTAGCTAGTATTCTAAAACAAGTCCTGGAAGTAAAGGAAGGTGGCCGCTTCTGAGGAATTTCAAAAGCAATTTGCGATAGGTTACCACGCTGAACCTCTGGGTGCCGCTGTCGCCCAGTCAGTGGCCATTCTGACCCAGTGATCTCCGCGGGCTTTCACAAACACATCCGAAAAATGCACGGCCTCCCTGCGCTCTCTTTGAACCTCTTGGTTTTCGTCGCCCTTTCTCCTGCTGTCTGCTTGCAGTCTTCATCGTCAGGATGTTTAATGACTCCGAGTGAGGCGCTGCCTTTTCCTTCCTGGGAGTGACTTCTACTACAGGGAGTGAATTCACGTCTCAACAGCTGCGTGGATAGGAAGTCGTCCACGGGGCAGGCGCACAGAGCGCAGGAAGCGCCGCCTCCCTTCCTGCGGTCTTTGTTCCGCTAGGAGAAATACGCACCAACTGCACTGCGTGATTCGAAAAGAAGACTTGAGTGTTTAACTGCGGGGAATCCAAGGGTGAGTGCCGAGAACTACTCCATCTAACCAAGACAGCAGAGACTAACCTGAGACTGACTGAATCAATGCAGTAGATTCACCAGAGAAATTACGTAAGCCACTCGAATTTGAAAATTAAATCTACCGAAAATCATACAGACAGAACCATCCTGGATGACAACAGCATGCGATATACACCGTTTTTGGAAATTCTGGAGAACATTTTAATAGCAGCGTTTAAAGATTCGGACTCTGAGAATAACTCTACAAATGTGTCACCGTAACATTCGGTGACCATCTCGTCTGACTCCAGAAATGAATGGAGAGCACTACAGCAGCAAATATTGGGAACTGTTACTAAAGAAACCCTGGACCAGAGGAGAAGGACTGCCACTCCTCAGTGACGTTTACACGGCAAGACAGCTGTAGACAAAACAGAGCCTAGAGCCATTGTCAGGCCTGGGGTGTTGACTCACAGCGATGCAGCCGGACCATCCCGCAGAAGAACCCGTCCTCGCCTAGATTGCATTCCGGGTGATCTTCACTGACATCCTTAAGGTAGAGTTCTCCTGTTGTTCCCACACGATCTCACAACTCAGACAGAATAGATCTACTGCCCCCAGATTGCAGCAATGCTTGATTTTGATTTTAAAAAAAGAAAAAGGCAGTAACTGCATGGAATAGAAGATTGGAGGTAGTCTAAAAACCCGTTTTCAAAATCCCAGCCGAAACGGAGGTCAAGAACTACAGAGCAGCGGTAGGTCACTCTCAATCAGGCATCCACAGGTAAGGACTGCTATTAATAACCAAACAGCAGAACTGACACCTGTGTTTAAACGGAGAGGTGAAAAGGGATGATCCCACTGACAGTTCACCTCCAAGAATTACTATGTAATTGTCACCTACTGACAGATGGAATCGTAAATGGGAGCAGACCCTAAAGTACAGTCTTACCATCAGTGCCTTTACAGGGATGAGACATCCCTTTTCTCCAGCACAAGCATTACTCAAACATTTTCACCAACAAAAATGTTCTGCTTGCAGGAAGTGATGGTGCATGCCTGTCACTTCAGCATTCCTGAGGCTGAGCATCAAGGTCGAAAGTCTAAGGCCAGCCTGAACTACAAAGTGAAATGTTATGAAAACAAAAGCAGTCTGCTCTTTTCTCTTTTCTCTTTTTGCGTGCTGAGGTTTGAGCTTGGGACCATTTCTATGCTAGGCAAGTGTTTCATACTGAGCCACATCCTTATCTCTTATTTTTCTTTGAGACAGGGTCTTGCTGTGTAGCACAGCTGGCCTCAAGTTTATAATCCTTCTTCTGTCTCTGCCTCCTGAGTACTGGATTACAGATATGTACTGTTGTGCCTTATCCCAAGGGACTGGAAACACTGAAGCTGCCATTGAATACTTCTGAGCAGAGCTTGCAGTATTTCATAATTCTTGTTGTTCTTCCTGACCTTGCACCAAGAAAGTGCTATTGCCTTCAGTCAGCGAGTGCAGGTTGCAGCAGTATCCCAGCAGACTGCCTTTAAATTCATTCTCAGCATGATAGCCAGGGTTTGACTGGGTCAGCGCCATCCTAGCCTCTCAGTGATGGTGGGTGACTATCACAAAAATACTAGGAGGATGCTTTGCCAAAAACTTCAACTAGGTAAGTCACTACAGTGTGCACTATGGAGCCTGTCTACCCGCTGACAAAAGTGGACACTAACTACAAGCACAAGAGCTGTCCTATATTTCTGACCAGCTAATGTGGTTCTTCAAACTAGGGGCTCATACAGCTAAGTGTGTACAACACTGCTGCGTGTCTCAGAAACAGAATACCATGGCCTATGTGGTGGACAGTCACTACACTGTACCTGGTCCCTGCCATGAGTTCTCAGGAGCTCTGCCAGACCCCCGTGTGTGCAGCATAGCACTGCCAGGCAGATGGAGTTTCAACTTTGGAAGCCTTGTCTTAGGTTCTGTACTCTGGCTTCTCAAAGGGATTCTGGCCATCATCTCGGACCTGTAACATTCTAGCTCCAGCACTAGGAACATCTGTTAACCTGTTCTCTGAAGCGTGGTTTTGGAGTTGCTCCCAACTTCACGGAGACTCACCTGTTACCACAATCTATGCATGGCTTCTCCTATTGTAAAATCCTCAGATTTTAGTTTCTTTATATTCTTTAGTTTCTTCATATTAATTTCAGAAACAGCTTACACCGGGACATTGCCCAGAGTGCCAACAATGAAGCCTTAGATTTTATATTGGAGTCAAATGTATACATGTGACTCTGAGGGTTCTCATTTAGTGCATCAGGCCTTTTTAACTTCCTCCTGCTTGTCTTACTGATTTTCTTTCTTTTCTTTTTTTGACCTTTCAACACAGGGTTTCTCTGTGTAGCTCTGACTGACCTGGAACTCACTCCGTAGACCAAATTGTCTCGAACTCACAGAGATCCACCTGTCTCTGCCTCCCAAGTGCTGGGATTAAAGGTGTGCACCACCACTGCCCAACTTAACTGATTATTTTTATGTGTGCTTGTTTTGTCTGTTTAGTTCACAATTCCTCTTGGAAGAAGTTTACATATCCTAACATGTTCTGAAAAGTCTTTATTTTTTATTAAAGAGTTCCTTCCTTGCAACAATGAAAGAGATGTATTGCATCGCTAAGTTACTACCCTTGAGGTCTATATATTGAGAGTCTGAGAAACTGTATAGTTATCCAAGAACAGAAATTGTCCTTAATTTCTTCCTTTCCTCCCTCATTTTCTGACTCTTTCATGGCTGTATCTGGTTGGCTGCCAGCATCCGTCTCAGGTTCCTGAAATGCCGGACTCTAGAGTGCCAACACCATATTCCTGTCAGATAGAAGTAAGTCACTCTTAATTTGAGACATTGTAGTTAGTAACCTTCTTTATCAAGGATAAGTTAAATATTTACAAAGTCTTAGATTTTAATGATAACAATGGAAGATCAACAAAACCTATGGGACTTATAATGTAAGCAGACAATTTTTTCTTTACCTAAGGCAACCAAGAAATAAATTTGTTTAAGTTATAGTGATTGCACAAGAAAATTTATGTTTCATTAGTCATATATTAATGTAAGCACCCAACTTTTTCCTTTTTGCCTTATCTTTATTTTGTTTTTATCTGAAACAGTCTTCTATAGCCCAGGCTGAGTGCAAACCCACTGTGTAAGCCAAGGATGGCTTCAAACTTTCTGCTAAGATTACAGGCATGCACGCCACTCTTGGATTTCTGCATTGCTGTGGATTGAACCTGGGGCTTCGAGCATGCTAGGCAGACTACCAACTAAGCTACACCTCCATCCAAAGCTCAGCCTTTATAAAGTACAATACCTAAGAAATTATAACACTAACATATATTTACAGGAAAATACTTCTCCCCAATGAAAAGATCCCTAGTATATTTAAATATCCAAATAATTCATACTAGTGTTTCACAGAAAATAGCACTTTATTACTGTAATCCCGGTCATGATTTCTGTATGTAGATTTATAAGTGAACTTTAGTCAGTGCACTGATAATTTCCCTTTTTAGTAGAATTAATCACCACAAAACAAACAAAAGAATTGTGATTGTTCTGACCTTGAAATGCGCTTCCTAGCGCAAATATTTCAGAGTTCAGCAGAGCACCATGGAGTGTCATGATGCTGTCATATGTGGGTCAGGACTCAGAATATTATAAAATGACTGGAAATACATGTATATGTATGCATCTGTAATTTATAAAATATATACTGGTTTATTCGTGTGGTTTTAAATGATTTACTATGGTCTTCATCATAACTGGAACAAAAGCAGTGACCTCAGAGGAATACTCTTACCGTTAGACTGCACCATTGACTTTGGAAGGAATAATTCCCATTATCCTCTCAGCCGCTACTGTGGGCGGTCTAATGATTCCAAGGACTTTAAATTATCCCTTCTCGGATCTTCACACCTCTCCTAATTGTTTTGTCATCTGTTCCGAATCATTTCTCCTTGTGCCGTCACCTCTCTCCCATTGCATTTTCAGGGTGTTCTGTTTAAATTGGTTTGAAAACAATAACCATTTTCCCATTTTATGTTTTTTGAACAAAGTAATAAGCAACTTTCCATATCTGCCAGCATTTCACTTAGCCAACAAACATATCTTTCACTGAAAATGTAATCCCTTAGTAGTTCAGAATATGTGAAAGTCAGCAAAAGTTTGCCCTTACTAGAGCTGATCTGAAGGCCAAGGCGATGCTCAGGATAAAGCAGACTGGTTCTCAGAACAACCTACCACCAGAGCGCTCTCAGCAGAAGGAGCAGTGTTAGCTGGATGTTCTTTTCTGTAACAAACCAAGTCTATAGAAACTGGCATGAAGTTGGGAAGTTACTTCTCCTTATCCTCAGATCGTTCCTGCTTTTCTTCAAGCTAAGATCCAACTCATTCATCGCAATTGTCAGTTTGTTGGCTGCATCTTCGGCTTTGTTCACCATTCTAAGTATTCCAGCTCTACTCCAAGCTCCAAAGGGCTCCAACTTTCCAAGAGCTCTCTCCGCCACGATCCAGTAGCAGAGCAGGGATGTCTTACTGACCTTAGAAGGCATTTCTCAGAAACTGCTTTCCTCTTCAAACTCAGTGGATAACATACCTGCTTTGCCTACTTTGACCTTGGACTTGCACCAGTGTTCCATTATTCTCTTCGTTGTGAAAGGACAAGATGCTGAGCTCCGTGGCTGCTGCGAAGGACCACCAGCCAGCCTGAAATAAGCCGAGGTGGGCTCCCTCACCACTGTAGCTGCCACACCATCTCCAAACAATGAATAAAAGGAAAGTGACATCCTCATCACCCTAGTTAAAAGATATTGCTGTTGACTAAAGCCTCCTTCTCTTGGAGAATACAATACATGACTGTAGGACAACTATTATCCCTACAGTCTCCCTGAAAATAAAAATGTGGCTTTTTCATCTATAAAGAATAATATCACAACTTCTCTATCTTTTGAGTTTGAAGTAAAAATTATATAGTCATGCAGTATGTTTAATGAGATTCCAAGACCCTGATTTTATTCTATTCAAAATTTATTACCTTTGGGGGAATTTTAAATCTTTCTTAATGTAGCTGCTTCAGAAAAGAAGGAGAATGAGGATATGGTTTAACGTGGTCTTCAAAATCCCAGGGTTCTGAAAATATTCAAAGCCAAGTGGAAGGAAAATGGAGTGGTCCAGATTCTGAAACTCTACTCTGAAATCTGAAAGTCGACTTTTCCCTCTCTAATGTTTTCTTCATCCTCCAAACCTCTCTTTGTGGCCTGAGAAATTATCAAGTAGTCAAGCTATATAACAGAATAAATGGAAGACTGATTTTCTCCTCTTGGAGTGAGAGAGATATTTTAATTTTTCAGTAGCACATGGGGAAAACAGATAATTTGGACTACCGGTTCTTCAACACAATACAAATTGACAATATAGCTATAAGGAAATGAACATTGCTTCTTCTTTACATATAATACATACATACATGTGCACATACATACTGCATACATACGTACTATTGTAAAAAAAAAATTACTATTTCCCTGGCAGTAAACCAGGACTTAAGATACCTGATTACTTCGCAAGAAGTGCAGTAACTTGTTAGGACTCTGGGCGCCGCTGTTCACCAACCTGGGAGATACATGCTCTATACTACCCGCCCAATTTAAAAAAAAAAAAGAGGAAAAAAAAAAAAAACGTTTGACTCTCAGACTCTCCATCATGCCAGACTGAAAATGTCTGCCTGCAACTGCCCAGCATATTTCTGGACATCTCTCTGTTATAATTATTTTCATTATTAAGATAAAGAAGATCCTGGAAAAGCAGGAAAACAATACCCTTGATAGCAAATTGAGAGAAAAGTAGGAAGCCAGAGAGCAATGGCGATTCCAGAGAAGCTAACCGGTTGGAGCCGGCTGATGCTGCTGTGCCTTTCTCTGGAGCTACTACTGGAAGCCAGGGCTGGAAACATCCGCTACTCGGTGCCGGAAGAAACAGACAAAGGCTCCTTCGTGGGCAGCATCGCCAAGGACCTGGGGCTCCAGCCGGGTGAGCTGGCGCAGCGGGGGATCCGCATCGTCTCCAGAGGTAGGTCGCAGCTTTTCTCCCTGAACCCGCGAAGCGGCAGCTTGGTCACCGCGGGCAGGATAGACCGGGAGGAGCTGTGCGCCCAGAGCGCGCCCTGTCTCGTGAGCTTTAACATCCTCGTGGAGGATGAAATGAAGCTTTTCCCTATCGAAGTAGAGATAAATGATATTAACGACAACACCCCCCAATTCCAGTTAGAAGAGCTGGAATTAAAAATGAGTGAAATAACGACTCCGGGTACTAGGATCCCTCTGCCTCTTGGGCAAGACCTTGATGTGGGTATAAACTCACTTCAGAGCTACCAGCTAAGCGCCAACCCTCACTTCTTCCTGGATGTGCAACAGGGACCTGAAGGAGCACAACAGCCAGAGATGGTGCTCCAGAGCCCTCTAGACAGAGAAAAGGATGCTAGCCACTACCTTGTTCTCACTGCCTCTGATGGGGGTACCCCAGCACACTCGGGGACGCTGCAGATCCGCGTTCAGGTGGTAGATGTGAACGACAACCCACCATCATTCACTCAGGCAGAGTACCACGTGAGTGTCCCAGAAAACATCCCACTAGGTACCCCGCTGCTCAAGGTGAATGCTACTGACCCGGACGAGGGCGCTAATGGCCAAGTAACATACTCCTTTCACAATGTAGACCACAGTGTGGTCCGGAAGTTTCAGTTGGATTCTTACACAGGAGAAATAAGGAATAAAGAACCACTAGATTTTGAAGAATACAAAGTTTATCCAATGGAAATTCAAGCCCAGGATGGTGCTGGACTCATGGCTAGAGCTAAGGTGCTAGTCACTGTTTTGGACGTTAACGATAATGCCCCAGAAGTTGGAATCACCTCTGTCACTACCGAAGTACCAGAAAACTTTCCTCCTGGGACCATAGTTGCTCTTATCAGTGTGCATGATCAAGACGCTGGTAACAATGGTCATGCCACATGTTCCATTCCTGGAAACCTACCCTTTAAACTGGAGAAGTTAGTTGACAATTATTACCGCTTGGTAACAGAAAGAACACTGGACAGAGAGCATAGCTCTGGGCACAACATCACAATAACAGCAACGGATCAGGGAACTCCACCCCTATCTACCCAAGCTCATATCTCACTGCTAGTGACGGATATCAATGACAACCCTCCAGTTTTTGAACAGGACTCCTACTCTGTCTACATTCCTGAAAATAACCCCAGAGGGGCTTCCATCTTCTCAGTGAAGGCCCAGGATGCTGACCACAATGAGAACGCACTAGTGACTTACTCCCTAGTGGAAGACACTATTCAGGGAGTGCCTTTGTCTTCGTACTTCTCCATCAACTCTGACACTGGCGTTGTCTATGCATTGCAGTCCTTTGACTACGAGCAGTTTCGGGATTTGCAGCTAAGAGTGATGGCTCGGGATAGTGGGAGCCCGCAACTCACCAGCAATGTGTCTCTGATCCTGTTCTTGATAGATCAAAATGACAATGCCCCAGAGATCCTGTACCCTGCCCTCCCCACAGATGGGTCCACTGGTGTGGAGCTAGCACCCCGATCTGCCGAGCCCGGTTACCTGGTGACCAAGGTAGTGGCAGTGGACAAAGACTCAGGACAGAACGCTTGGCTGTCCTACCGCCTGCTCAAAGCCAGCGAGCCAGGGCTCTTCTCAGTGGGGCTGCACACAGGCGAGGTACGCACTGCCCGGGCCCTGCTGGACAGAGATGCTCTGAAGCAGAGCCTGGTGGTGTCTGTGCAGGACCACGGCCAGCCCCCTCTGTCCACCACAGTCATATTTACCATAGCAGTGGCTGACAGCATTCCTGAACTCCTGGCTGACCTGGGAAGCATTGGAACAGCTGCCGATCCCCAGGATTCAGATCTCACACTCTACCTGGTGGTGGCAGTGGCTGTAGTCTCCTGCATCTTCCTAGCCTTTGTCATCGTGCTCCTGATGCTCAAGCTACGACACTGGCACTCCTCGCGCTTGCTCCAGACTTCAGCAAACGGATTGACTGACATTCCTACCTCCAACTTTGTGGGTGTTGACGGGGTACAGGCATTTCTACAGACCTATTCCCATGAGATCTCACTCACCGCTGACTCTTGCAAGAGCCATCTGATCTTCCCACAGCCCAACTATGCAGACACGCTTATCAGCCAAGAGAGCTGTGGGAAAGGGGAATTTCTGTCGGCACCCCAGTCTCTGCTTGAAGATAAAGAGGAAATACTTTCTCAGGTAAACTTGTAATGACCTTAATAGCTATATCAATGAAACTATTTCATGTCTGTGCATATTTGCTTTTCCTGTTTTCTATAAATGGTATATTCCATTATACCCCAGCAGTGGTTGGGTGTGTTTATTTTTGTTTCATGCCACTGGAAATTAAACCTAAGGGCTCATGCTAGGTGAGTGCTACTCTTTTGAGACAAGTTCTCCATAAGATACCTGGGCTGGCCTTGAACCCACTTTTTTTTTTACTTTCAATTTAATGTTTTATTTGAACTCACTTTGTAGCCCAGCATGGTTTTAAATTATAATCCTCCTGCCTCAGACCACTGGAATGCTGGTTTCTCAGGCATATAGCAACGACGCAGGTGACCTACCCTTTTAGATTTCCATAGGCATGCCAGGGATGTTCTGGGTGGTGAGGATAAAGAGTGTATGGTGAGGCCTGTCGCCTTTGGGATAGAGAACTGCATCAGAAACAGATTTGTCTTCTGTTTATCACTTACATCTGGCTAAATCATTTTATTGTCTGAGTTGACTATCCACTTATTCAGAACTGATAGTAGTGAGAATCATCAAAAGTCATAATTTTACTTGTGTTAATATAAAATGATAATAATCTATGCAATCTGATGTGGTTGCTAAACATCTTAATTCTATAACCTCTCACTGAGAGATTTTATGTGTGCTTAAATCTTTAAATAACTTATGAAATAGACAGAAATTTTATCATGCAACTTATAAAACAGTTTTAAAGCTTCTTTCATGTGTGTGTGTGTGTGGTGAAAATGACAAAATTAAGACATATTTCATATTCATCTATATTAATACTTCATAAGAAGTGTATTATGAAGTTCTGAGGTGGTGGCATGTGCCTTTAATCTCAGCACTCAAGAGACAGAGGCAGGCAGTTCTCTGTGAGTTCGAGGCTATCCTGGTGTACATAATGCATTACAGGCCAACAAGGGTTACATAGTGAGGCCCTGTATCAAAAAAAGGAAGTGTGTTGTGGCATGGTAAAGTCTTATTATATCTACTCTGTTCTATCAAATTGAACAGACACATAAACTATAAAATAGTAAAGCATTAAAATAGTAAAATAAAAATATCTAGATGGACAAAAGGTAGACCAAGAAATCATGAATTGATCTAAAGCTATTTAAATAGCGATTGAAGGCCAACAGTGTAAAATCAACAAAACTACTTCATTCTTGACAAGTGGCCTAGGGTTGGCTTATTGATTGAAACCAGTGTAAGCAATGAAAACCATCAGGTGCGTGAAATCTTCCCTGCCCATGCCTGTGCTCGGGCTTTGTTGCAAGCTGAAGACAAGGGAGAGGGACATAGATGCAGTGAGCAGTAAGTCGGCTCATGGAAGACCTAGTTATTGCCTGGAACCTGAGCAGTATTTTTAAATTGGCTCTCGCTGTACTCATCAGTTGGACTGAAACTTGTTGTGTAGCTCAGGCTGACCTCTAACTTGTGATTTTCTTGTCTTTTCTGAGGGCTGGGACTGCTGATGTGAACCACTACTTTATATGATTGATAAATTTCAGAACCAGTAGAAGATAGGCGTGGTGACACATGCTTATAATCCTAGTACTTAAGAAACTGAGGCAAGAGGGGGCATCCTTAGCCACATATCCAGTGTGAAGCTATTCTGGGCTACACGAGACCTTGTGTCAAGGGGGGCCTTAAGAGAGAAAAACAATAAGAAAGTAGAGTAGGTAAGAACAATTTTTAAAGAAATTCTTCTACTTAAAATAAATATATAAGCCAAAATTTCAAAATATGTTGTCTTCCTATAACTTATGATTATTACAAATGATAAATTTTCTGTCATCACATTGTCATTTTTAAGTAATCTGTTTCTTCTCTGGCAACTTTTAAGGGAATTTCATTCTTGCTGTATGTTTTCTGGATTTTTATTTTCTCCTTGAGTACAAAATTATATTCAAATAATAAATTATTTCATCTCTGCATTTTCTTAGCTCTTAAAATTTAAAGACAGATTAATGAATTGGTTGGTTTTTAAAATCCATATTCTGCTGACAAGATAGGTTCTTAAATTTATACTAAAATATTGAAGTTAAATATTCATGTGCACACATGCACAAAAGAAAACAGGTATTGTAGACCGTTAATACAGAACCAAAGTCGTGGTTACGGCAACAAGCATGAGTTGTATTGTTTTGAGAAATTAATGTAGGAAATAATTGGTCATGATTATAAAAAAGAAAGCATTCAAATGGGTAGAAAATTATTAACTCCCATCACCTAAAAACACAACTTTGAAAATAATACCCGATTTTAGTATAATTCCAAAGAAAGCAAAGATCAAACAAAAAGAAAGGCTCAAGAGGGTCTCAATTGCCTGTGGCCTCAGTTTCAGTGGATCTGATGCCCTCTTCTGGCCTCCACAGGCTTTCTCCCTACACGTATAACAACAGTTAAAAATATAAAAATAAAATAAAATAAATAGAAGTGTACAGAATTAATTACAATAACCTACCTACTCACTGAAATCCACATAAAACTCTAATAATAGAATTGGGGGGAGGAGAAATGAAATATTCCACCCTAAAATTCACATGGAATCTCAAGGGACCCCTTCAAACAGACAATCTTGAAAAGAAAGTTGGAAGTCTCATATGCATTAGTTTCAAAAAACTTACTATGAAGAATCCATAAGAAACCACAAATCGAGAAAGGAAGAATAACAGATGGAAAGAAAGCAAAAGGGGGGAGGGGATTGGACAAGTTAATTATTAACTAATAAGTAGTAAGCTTACAATAGAGAAAACTACAAATAACTAGAAAATTTCTAGAATGTTACAGTGATTAAAGTTAACAAAAGCAATACTGGGACAAAGACACCATGTGGCTCCCACAAAAAGGCACTAAGGAGATAACGTCATTCTCACGTCTTCCCATCAGAACTGCACAATCTGAACCTAAGGAGAAGGAATCTAACACACCCAACAAGGGAGAACGTTTCATAGTAGAACTGGCTACATCTTCAAGTCCAGAGTCATGACATGTCAAGGCCTGGTGAAGTGCTCCAATTCTACCAACTGCAGAAACTTTGTGAGATATGGATCCTAGGCCTGAAAAATATTTTATTTTGCTATAAAAAGACATTGTAGCGGGCTGGAGAGACGGCTCAGAGGTTAAGAGCACTAGCTATTCTTCTAGATGTCATGAGTTCAATTCCTAGCAACCATGTGGTGCCTTCCAGGTACCTATAATGAGATCTAGTGCCCTCTTCTGGCATACAGGCATGCAGAACACTGTATACATAATTAATAAATAAATCTTTTTTTAAAAAAAGACATTGTAGCAACTAACAAATTATTACGAAGAGCTATAGGCTAAATAATGAATCTTCATCAATGCCAAGTTGATTTTTATGGTTTGGTACTGAAGAAATCCAGAAAAAGTAAAGGGACATTATATCTGCAACTTACATGGAACCCATGAGGGCATGAAATTAAAGTGTTAATATTTGGGGTAATATAGGCACAGAATACAATGAACTTTATATGTAAAATATATAAGTCCGACAACATGAACCTACATCTACATCACAAGTTGAAAGTATTTGGAAAACTTAACATAGTTCCTAATCATGTTCATCAATTATTAACATTATCTTAGACAGCATGTATAATTGTGAGATGACCAACTACCCAGAAGAATGTACACAGATCATTTGCAAATTCTACATCATTTTATGCAAGGGACTCCAGCACCGTGAGATACAGAACCAAGCCCCCTCAGCTACCAAGGGACTGGCTATATATGAGATTTATTTGTACTGTTTTTTTGCAACCTTTCTGTAATTCTGAAATTGTTCAAAATAAAAAGTCTAAACATTGATCTTATTTAAATACAATAGGTGTTAAAATTAAATAAAGCCTACTGTTATGTACACAGAGTTTGGTTATATTACTTTCTGTAGTGGTCTATAAGCTTGAAATATTTCAAAGTGTAATTTTAAATAAATACATTATGCATAAATATGTTTGCATCGGTAAGCCAAACAGGAGTAAGAAGACATCCATGGCATCATCCAGGGAAGACTAAATACAGAAAGGGAAAGAGGACTTAACAGTCTCAAACAACTTTGAATGACAGATTCTTAATGTAAAGTACACTTTCTGCCTGGGCTTTGTTCAATATGGAAACCTTCCACATCCATGGTGTTCCTGGCTGTATCCAACTCTGATCATTAGTTCTGAGTTTCTTTGGTACTCCAGCCTCGTTCTTGATCCTTTATACTTGTCAGGATTCAAGCGAAGTAGCATTCAGGAAAGGTCGATTTTGACTCACAAACATAAGTTGGATCCCCTTCCTCTGCATGTCCCCAGGGGTCAGTGCTTCTCACAACATCCGGCATCGATACTCTTTAATAAGATCGTCTTTACTTTCCTCATCTTCCCCACCCTAAAAGTTTCTGAGACCTGGTTTCCAACTAAGAGTCAATCAAACCTTGTGTCAGGCACATGTGCTGCTAAGTGTCTGACGATGTCTGATGATCAACAATTTAAATATCAAGTGTTGGCGTTAAATGCTAAGCAACAGCGCACAAAAATTCAGAACACTTACCTTATAAGAAAATGTAGCCAATGTTGACCTTTTTGTCTGAGCATAGATAAGAAAAGGTTTGGGAGTTAGTGTCATGCAACAAGGCCAACAGCACTTGGCTTAAGCCTTAAACATTCTGCAATACTTTCATAGCAGCCATTCTCAGGTTATGTATATTTACACTATTCTTACGAGTTCTGAAAAAGTCCCTACCTGTAAATGCTTACTTCTACTGTAAATAATACTGCATCTTAGTTAGTGTAAGAGTCATTCTTGAGAGTAACTTAAAAGTCAGTTTAAGTTACTTTCCTGTTCAGGAAAACATGAAATGGGTTTGCCTGCGCGAGTGCAGAAACTGGCTAGGCCTCTGGGCGTCGCTGTTGACCACCTAAGGAGTAAAAGACAATCAACCAATCCCACTA